GAGTATGTACTTATTTTTTTTCTTGTTTCAAAGAAAATTTTAAATAGTGATAAGTGTCTCAATTCAGAGTTTATATAATTTGCTATGCAAATTATTATCATATTATTATATTGACATTAGGTACAACAACTTAATAAGTCTGAATCATTATAGTTGTGTTGGGGGAAACTTGCAGCTAATAGTATTTGCTTGCCAAAACAAGACTTAACTACATTAAACTTAGGTTATCCTACCAAGTTTCAAGTTATCTAGTCACCGTCATTCTTCTTTTCTTTTCTCTTTATGTAGTATAGCCCCTAATATGTGCTGTTCATGGAATACCAGTTCTCATCACAGTTACATGGTATCCTCTTTCCCTGGACTCCATATTCTCTTACATAGCCTTCATCATCTTTTTGTGGCCAATTGCTTCTAATTTCTCAGGTTCCAGCTTAAAATGTTGCCTTTTTAGCATCAGTCTTTACTACTCTAAAAATAGAGAATTTTTATTGTAGTCTGCCACATGCATAGTTTAGTTTCTTTATATTATCTTTTTTCCATACTTGACTAAACTGCAGTAGAGTAAAGGTGTAGTATGTGTGTACAGCTGTTTGATACTTATTTGATATTGATTCTCTAGTTCCTTGCATAGTAGATAGGTATACAATTCATAGAAAGTACTCAATACAGTATGATTGTATAATTTAAGGATTCTAAATTATATGATGTGACAAGCTCAGATATGTTTTTTCTGGAACTTTGTTTTACTACTATTTGGATAGATGTGGTAGTAGTAGTATAGATAAAAGGAAAAGAAAGTGGCCCTCCCTGGTGGCACAGCACCAAGAAGCTAAAGCCACTTCTGCATGAGTTCGATTCCCGCCTGCCCCAGAGGTGACCACATGGCATGGCAGACCTCTCCTGACCCACCCACTGCTCCCCTCAGCAGTGTACTTCGTAGATCTGCCTGTTCTGCTCCCCACTCTGTTTCTGGTGAAGCCTCTCACTGCCCCTGAGCCTCTGGCCTGTACCCCAGTTCTGTATGACCAAATAAATAAATCTTGATTAAAAAAAAAAAAAGGAAAAGAATGTTTAACAATAGGGAAATAGTTTCACATAATTGGAAATCTGTAGTAGGAGTCATATGAGTTCAGTCATTTCATTATAGGCCTTTAGTATGTCCCTGTTTATTTTGCCGTATTTATTGTACCTGTATCTTCAGATTGGTTCTCCCTGGGGCGTTGCAAGAATGCTGACATTGGCAAGCAGGACAGCATAGTTTCTTGTCTAGTAATAAGAAATCTTCTCCAAAACCATGGAATGTAAGTCCTTTTTAGTTACTTGGACCAACTTTAGGCACATAATCACTTGGGAAATGTTAGTCTTAAATAAAATAATGCTGTACACTTACTGGCTTGCTATGATCATTTGAAGGTAGAATGAATTTGAGTAAGTCAGTATACTGCCTGCTAAAGATACTGAAATATATCTAGATTCTACAATAAAGAAGGTGGTTTAGGTTTCACATGAACATGTCCTGTTTGCTAAGTGAATCCCCAAAATTGTAAAGGTGGGGACATAAGCGAGGAACCGCAAAATACAGTTTTTCTGAGAAATGTGCATTAGCTAAACTTTGGGCATGGAACTTGATCTGAATTGAGGAATCATGGGATAAAACTGTTCTTATAATTTCTATTATGCTTTTACTATCCTGGAAGTTGCCCATTAAATTATGGTTATGGATAAGATATAAAAAGATTTCCTAGATGACAGTAAGAAGACATTTAGTTTAGAGTCTTAGAGAATTTGTTCATTGAAGAAATTTTTAGATGAAATAGAACACCTGAAGAAGATTGATAGGGAGGATCATTGAGATGAAAATGCTCAGAGCTAGTGGTAAAACATAAAAGTCAAGACATTATACTATAGAAGTAATGTTAAAGCAGGTGGTTTTTCTGTAATGACATATTTTGTGCTGCAAAACTAGGAGGGATGTGTAAAATATATACACATTTGCTGAAAGTTCTGTTAGACTAAAGATTATGCTTTCAAGGAAAATGAGGAATTTAAGGGTGCAGATTTAAGAGAGTAGGAGGGCAACTCAATAAAGTTTGACATTTGGACCTATATTTTATATTCAGGCATTTGCTAATTCTGAAAGTGGTAGCAGAAACTGAAAAGAGCTTTTAGTAGGTTTCTGGGTTCAAGGAGGCAAAAAAAAAAAAGAGGCTCGGGGTCAACAAAAGAGTGTACCTTAGTACATACTTAGGTTTTGAGTTGGGTTCCCATAAGTTCACATTAATAGAAGGTGTGAGATGGAAGTAGAACAAACTCTTAAAATCACTTAATCTCAACTTCTACATGCCTCAATTCTTTATTGAAAAAAGGTTATCTGAATTTTTATTGCTCCTTAGATTACCTTCCTGCAACAGTAAAATTTTAATGTCTGCAAAAGACAACATAATCTAGATTTTTAAATTATCTCTGTATGCGTTCACATAAATATGTGTCCAATGCTTACTCAGAAATAAACGGATATACTTAGAGCTATGATTCATGACTAGAAATCAATAACAGAAAATGGAACCTGATCCTTAAGGGTTCCAGTTAATGGAGATATCAGACACAAGCTATAAATTATATGTGCTTAATACATGTTCAAATAAAAGATGTGATTATTGGTAACTTGGGGCAGAATTGGAAACCATATACATGTAAAGGTTAATATAAGTGAATGTCAAGTGTAAGTAAATTTGTTTATATATGGGCATAAGCATATGTATGTGTAATATATATATTAATATATATGTGTTTAGAAGATGATGGAAAATATTAAAAAGAATTTAAATGACATTAGGTTATGAAAACAAATATAATTGAAGACTCAGATGGGGATGAGTGAATGAGTATGACCTTATTTAAAGTTGTATTGGATTCTAGTTTTATAGAAATGATCAAAGTCAACAAATCATAGAATCAGGAAGTGGTACAGAATCCAACCTGGGAATATGCAAAGAAAATTATCACATGCACTCTTGGTAGTATTACTCTTAAATTCATCAGGTGGCATTATCGAAATACTGAGATGACAAAACAGAATGGGGATAATAATTTCCAAATCATGAATCTGATAAGGATCCAGTATCTACATTACAAATTAATAACAGAAAGACAAACAACCAAGTCCAAAATGGGCAAAGTCCTAAATAAGTATTTATCTGAAGGAAATAATTCATATAGGTAACAAGTGTGCATGATAAGGTATTTAATAACATTGCTATTCATCAGGGAATGCAAATCCCAGCCACAATGGGCTACTAGTAATAAATACCATGAATGGAAAATAACAAGTTTTTGTCAACAAGTGGAGAAATTGGACCTCTTGTATGCTGCTCATATGAGTGTAAAATGTTTGGGCTACCTTGAGAGTTTGATCGTTCCCAAAAAGTTAAACAGAATTACCATGTGACCCAGCCTTTTCTCTTAGATAAATACTATGAGGAATGAAAACAAGTATTCAGATACTTGTGAATGAATGTTCATGGCAGCATTGCTTCCAGTATTTAAAAGGTAAAAACAATAATGTGTTTTACAGTAGTCAACAGATGTCCTTCAATAACACACTGTATCGTGCTATATACATATAATGATTATTCATCCTCAAAAAGGAATGGATGAGTGATAACATGATATATTGATAAATCTCATAAACATTATACTGCTAAAATCAGACACAAAATGATGTTTTATGGTACCATATATATGAAATATGGTTCATCTAGGTGAGTGTAGAAATGAGACCCATCTGGTGACTGTCAAACACTAGGTGTAGGAGGGAATGGGGAATAACTGATTAATGAGAATAATAGTATTTTAATTGTTGGTAGATAAAACCAGTAATTTGAATGGAGGGTTTACCTATGGTGTGTATTTTTTTTTTAAGATTTTTATTTATTTATTTATATGGAACTGGGGTACAGACCAGAGATGTGAATGGTGAGAGGATTCACCAGAGACAGAGAGGGGAGCAGAACAGGCAGATCAACAAAGTATACTGCTGAGGGGAGCAGCGGGTGGGTCAGGAGAGGTCTGCCTCACCATGTGGATCACCTCTGGGGCAGGTGGGAATCGAACTCATGCAGAAGTACTTGGCTTTAGCTTCTAAGTGCTGTGCTTTAACCGCTGTGCCACTGGGGAGGGCCCTGGTGTGTATTTTTTATGATTCAAAATCATGGTTTCTAAATTGATGTGAAATGTCATTAAATTACTTGTGGTCCTGTGATAAACATTCTTTTCAAAGACCAAATAAAGTTTGAAAATTATGCAGTATTGCACTTAAGAATTTCTTACCTTGTGATATAAGACTTGTGATGCACATTATGAATAAGATGTGTGTAGGTGTGTCAATTCTAACTTGTTCATAGTAACTGAAAGATCAGGAACTAAATATCTCTTTATCTGTAGTACCAAAAGTATGTATCTTTTGAATGACAAAAAATTTTATTAACATGGCATGGAATTGTTCTCAGTGTTTTTCCAGCATGTTTCTTTTGTATTTCATAGTTGTGTTAAATGAAATGTTAATAAGATTTGTCTAATACAGTATTAGAATTATAAGCTTACAATTTTCTCATCTGTGATTAATCAATTTTGCCTGTTTCTCTTAAATTTGTTTTTTTTTCTCACTGTGTTTATTTTAAATAAGAATTTTAAATGGCACTACACTAGGGTTCCTATTCTTTTTCAATTTCATATATGTCAATTACAGAAAGTGGTCTGGATTTAAGTCTTATAATACTGTTCTCTTTGCTAAGTACTGTTCCTTTACTAATGGGAAGATAATAAGAAGCAGGCATTATTGGTTAGTTAGAAGCTTATTTTAGTGAGTAGACCCCTTCACCAAAGTAAATTATCTCTCTCTGTAAATTATCATTCTGTGTTTCATTCTTTCAACCTAACAAAAAATAGGAAAACCTAGATAGCTCTGATTATTAATAACTTATTAAATATTTTATAATCAGATGAAAAACCAACACTGGAACAGAAACCTTCTAAACCAGCTGCTCCACAAGTCCCACCCAAGAAACCTACTCCACCTACCAAAGCCAATAATTTATTGAGATCTCCTGGAACAATGTACCCAAAGAGACCTGAAAAACCAGTTCCTCCACCACCTCCTGTAGCCAAGTAAGTTTTACCTAATTTTAAGTTAGCTTTGGTTCTACTGCTTATCTGTAACTCAAAGTAAGTTTTGAGTAATTGTGCCCATATTTGTTATTTAAATGTCAATCTTACACTCATACAAAATGAATACAATTAACTTGACGTTTCTAGCAGTAGTTTTGCTGTTATTAGTCTTAGGGTATATATTTATTTCCATAAATTAATTTCATGGAACAGAAAGAAATCAGTCTTATGCTAAATATCTTTAATCACATTGTTAAAAAATGATTGTATTTTACATACGAGTGGTTGTTTTCCCATGTGTTTGATTTTTGTTTTCCCATATGTTTGATTTTTCTCATTTCAGGATTAATGGGGAAGTTTCTACCATTTCATCAAAATTTGAAACTGAGCCAGTATCAAAACCAAAACTAGATTCTGATCCATTACCACCTAGACCAAAATCAGTAGATTTAGATTCATTTACATTTAGGAGCTCCAAAGAAACAGGTAAGTTAAGGTGTAGAAGATGGTGTCATGAAAACATTGCTAGTAGTTTCACAAAGTATTGAAAATAAATATGTGAATACAAGTTGTGTGTGTGTGTAGATTCTGTGAAAATTAATTAAAATTTATTTCAAATTTATGAAGTCAAAATAGAAAAAACAAAAAATAAATAGGTGAAGTATTTATGCTTTACATAAACTTTCTTACTGCTGGGAGGATACTAAAAGATACCTATTTATCATGTTATCTCTTCAAAGTACATGGCCATCCTAACTCAACAGACATGAATACATTTTAGCTCAAAATTTTAAAAAGTGATGTGGACTTCAAATTCTGTTACTGGATTATTTTTCCAACTCGGGAAAATAGATTTTTTTTTTTTAAATTGCATTTTCTCTGTATATATAAATCAACAGTCTTTATTTGGCTAAATGTCCCTGAAGTTTTAGTGTTTTTTTTTTTTAAGCCCATTAATCATTTATTTCTGTTCTGATCTTTTTTTAAAAATGAAAATATTTTGAAATGGAGAATCCTTAATAATAAGAATGGAAAGTGTTATATAATGATTACTTTGTTGTAATGGTTATGATACACTTTTTAAGTATTTTTGTATTTTTCAAAGCACTTTCTAATTTCTATAATTTTATCTTTACACTAACTCAAGAGGCTATATCCCCCTATTTTGTGTATAAACAAAAGTGGGTTACAAACTTACCAGATTTCTAAGATCACATAAATCACATGAGAAGTCTTTAGGTCTTATGTAAAGTGCTCAGATATGTTTAAAAATTTAGCATCTTGTTTTTTTTCTCTTCATTGTCAACATTTCATATTTAAATTTGAACCTCAAGGCAAATACACTTTTTGTTACTGTATTGTAAGATGTACAATACAGTTTTTTTTTAAGTTTGTTGTAGATGGTTTATTTTTCTTCTTTCCAGTTTGCCAGTACAGAAGATGTGATTTAATTAGAGCTTCCTTATTATTTTTTTTTAATTTGAGTGCTTTATGGCTCTATCATTATATGATGGATCCTGTATACTCTGGATAATGCCATATTCATTAACAGTTTCTGGAAATTGAGAAATTGATTGTATTTTGGAACCATTCATTCAAATATATATAGTATGTTCAGTCTTTAAAACATTAATCTTAAATTTTGATGAGTCTTTGGGAACTGAACTGCTTTTTTTTTTCTTCCTTTCCCTGTATTTTTCTATTATTTGTATCACTCTTGTCTATTTAATTTTTCTCAAGGGTTTGGAAATTACAAAACAAAATTAAGTAAATTAAAAGAAATTTTTACTTTTTCTAAAATTTTTATATGCACTCACTAGAAGTTTTGTTTCCTTTGCTAACAGAAATAGCACAAGTAGCAATGTAAAACTACTGCTGGTTCAAAGTTTTTTTCTGTTAAAGATTTATTTATTTATTCATACAGAACTGGGTGGGGTACAGGCCAGACGTGCAGGGGCAGTGAGAAGCTTCACCAGAGACGAGTGGGGAGCAGAACAGGCAGATTGATGAAGTACACTGCTGAGGGGAGCAACAGGCCGGTTAGAGAGGGGTCTGCTATGTCATGTGGTCACCTGGGGGGTGGGGGGGTTGGTGGTAGAATCAAACTCACACTGAAGCAGCTGCAGCTCGCTTGCAGTGCTGTGTCCTAACCGGTTGTGCCAACATGGAGGCCACAAAGTTAATTTTTTATAGTATTTTTGTTCTTTTTTACCTATAGTCATTATTTACTTTCATTAAAAAATGAGGTTTTGTGGAGTAGGGTTTGAAAATTTCTTACTTCTAGTTGGTTTTTCTTCCAACAAATAAAGGAAGTAATTTTTAAAGTGGCTGCAGCTAAAACAAGGTCAGTTTCAACTAACTTTCAGACTACTATCCTTTAGTCCTTGCATTGCCAGATTCCCTTTCATGTACTACAGTCATGTACTATAAAGTTTAGAGAACATAAGTTTTGGGAATTAAGTTTGTATTAAGTAGCATATATTTACTGAGAAGTTGTTAAATCTTCAGTTTTGTTACAGATACAGCTAATATGCTAAGATAAGGGATAGCTGTTGACAAAAAATAACTTAAGTCTTAAACCTTAATTCAGAGACTATTCCTAATTTCCTTGTTTTCATTAATTTTTTTTGTCTTTATATTGTAAAATGTACTTTGCATGTTTTTAGTACATGTGACATAAATGTTCTTATTGCCTGAGTTATAAACATGCTTTCAACCTCTTTGGCACCTTAAAAATACTGTGGATTGAATGCACTGTCAAAATTGGCATTAGGTTGAGGCATAACTTACATTTTTGGCTCAGCATGAGATCTTAAATTTCTGAAAGTAGCGTATGAAACCAGTCATTTAACATAAGTTTCAGAAAGACTAAAGCAAATGAAAACCTTTATTTTTTAAAGATCTTTTTAATCTGGTAAAAATTTGTTTTATTTTTTTATGCATAAAAGAACTAGGGTCTGGCCCTCCCTGGTGGCTCAGCGGGTTAAAGCACTGCACTGAGAATCTAAAGCCACTTCTGCATGAGTTCGATTCCCGCCTGCTCCGGAGGAGTATACATGGCGAGGCAGACCTCTCCTGACCCGCCCGCTGCTCCCCTCAGCAGTGTACTTCGTCGATCTGCCTGTTCTGCTCCCCACTCTGTCCCTGTTGAATCCTCTCACCCTCCGCATCTCTGGCCTGTACCCCAATTCTGTATGAATAAATAAATCTTTAAAAAGAAAAAAAAAAAAAAAGAACTAGGGTCTTAGCCAGAGAACAGGGGGATGAGAGGATTCCCCAGAGACAGAGTGGGGAGCAGGACAGGCAGATCAACTGAAATACACTGTTGAGGCGAAGTAGTGGACCAGACAAGAGAGGTCTGCTGTACCATGTCGATCAGCTTCCTGACTAGGAATCAAACTTCATGTGACAATGGTTACCCATGGCTTGATAGTGCTGAGGCTTAACCACTGTACCACTGTGAGGGAGGACCCACAAATGAAAATCTTTTCAGAATTACTATGTAAAATAACTTAAGGCAAAATAGTATATGACAGTAGAAAAAGTACATTGACTTTTTGTTAAAATTGGGTGTTTTAAATTATAAGCTGATTGATCATTGGGATGTTTTTTAATCTTTCTCATTGACCTAATAATAAAATGATCCATTATATCCATGATACCTATTACAGTATCTGACAGGAAAGTTCTTATTTCCCCCATTTCATTTGGCTTCATGGCTTAACACTATAGGTTGTGCATTCCTTACTGAGATTATTTCCCTGTTTAGAAAGCTATATATGTAAATTGTGTATACTGACTTTTGAACATAAAAGAATAATATTACATTTGGTTTTTCTTTACATCCTTCCATATATATTGCATATATGGCATATAGTATTGCAAACTATGCTCTAGAACCAAACTTTCCTTTCTTTCAAGCACTTTATCAAAAATTGGTTTAAGATAATCTCTTTGCCAATACTAGTTATAAAGTTCACAAGAAGTAAAGTTGTTTTACAAGTAGTTTTAGAATCTGGTATGCCCCCTTAATGTCATCAATAGATTCTTGGAAATGTGACTTTAAGAAAAACAGTATTTAAGGAAACCAGTTTGACCATGGGCTAATTGGTATAAACAGAAGATAAATTCTGACAGCATATTTCAGATCCCCCCAAAAATCACCAAACTCTATATTAAGACCAGTCACTTCTGATATAAACAGTAATTTGTATTCATTCATTCATTCATTCATCATTCATTTATTTGCCAACCAACTTTTTTGAACTCAGGTTCAAGGGTGGATAGAATTTGTTAGGAAGCTCAGGGCATGAAACAGTAAGTAACCCACTCTGGACAGGACACCTTTACATCACAGAGCACATCCCATACACCTACCCTCATAGTTGGACAGTATAGGTGCAAGAAGTAACTAACCTCATCTTTAGGCTATGAAGGAAGTTAAAATACTCAGAAAACCCACACAGACATGGGGAGAATAAACAAACTGAATATAGATAGTGGCTGGCTTCAGTCTGGAATCAATTTTGTATTCTTACCAATATTACATTGAGAATCAGCTATACAAAATACAGAATTTAGTGATACCATTGCTATTACATTGAGAAAACAGATGATGAGGAGTTCTTTTACTGTAGGGTTTTCAATACTTCTTAATGTTTTTCTGTGGTCAATTCTTGAAAGAAAATTTTAGGGCTATTTTCTCTACAAGTCTTTATTCTTAAATTGGAGAATATTTTCTTTAGTACTGTTTGATGGTTGATCTGTTTTTATTTGAACTATCTTTCTAATATTTCTTCATTTCTCTCAAAAAAAGTCTGTTGCTAAGATTCCTTGATAGCCCTTGAATGGCAGATACTATAAAAAGTGAGCCTGTATTTACACAGTGATAGAAAACAAAACAATGCACCCAAAACATAGATTACATCTGTGAAATAAGCACAGATTAAAATTTTTATGTTCTAATAAAAATTTCCTTGATGGTACCATTTTAGAGAGTATGATAGAAAACATGTTTGAATTTTCATTATGTATGAGATTTTTAAGCATTATATTGAATTGATTTTTTATAGTGAGATATTTAAAAGTAATTTTGACATATGTCTTCTGTCAGTTTCATTGTAATCACTATGATATGCTAAAGACAACTAAAAGGTGGTTTAATTTTTGTTATAACTGTATTAATGAATTATTGATTTATTCTGTGACCTCTGTTTTACCACTAATTTATTCAAAAACTTTTGTGTCCAGTGAATTTTAAAAAAAGGTTTCTTTGTAGCTTAATTTGTGTTCAAATTAATATTAATCATAGTTTTTCCATTTTGAAAGACAAAGGAATAAATCTAAAATTTGATGCACATCTTATATAAGCTTAAATGAACTGGAGTAGATAATACTAAGCAAAGAAATGGTTCTATTCATTCTACAACTGTTCCTTTTTCCTGCTTTGTGAAATAATTTTTTTGGTTTAGTCTTTTTTTCTAGACATTCCTATCCTTGACTTTTCTTTCCAGATTTTGTTTCCTAGCCTGTTTGCCATGTTTCCCTTCTTACGTGTCAGAAAATTATACTACTTTCTCCATTTTGGTAAGATGACAATTTATAAAAGAAATCATAATAGTATATTCAGTATAAATAGGTGGTGCACATTGATTTTCTTTATAATTTTACTAAAAGTATACATGTTTGTCTGTCTATTTATTCTAACCCTTTTGGTTTTCCATTTTAAAATAAAATGAGATTCATGTTGAAAATATGGTTCCTGCTTAAAAATAGATACACTTTGATACAAGTTTTTTTTTTTAATTGACAACCATAAAAGTCAGTTATTCTGATTCTTTAAAATTTCTTGTCTGCTAATATATGGAAATATAAATGACAGAGTGACAATGTGATTGCAAGAGTTAAGTGATTGTCATGCTTTTATGCCACATGTACAGTATAAGTCCATTGGTATTACTCTTAAGTAATTTTAAAAAATGTTCAAATATATCATGAGTCAAAAAATGTGCACTATTGATTTTACTAAATCAAATGACTTAAATGGAGAACCTGAGAGAGTTTTAGAATAGTAAAAGTATTTGTCATGGTATTATAACCTCAAACTGGACATATGAAAGGGATCCTTACATAAGCATGGTATATAATTTTGTAAACCTACCTTTTAATTACCATTTCACTTTCATTTATTTTCATCCCTTCCTGTTTTTCTTCATCTTTCTGAAAGCTGCTTAAATATGCATTTGAAAATAATCCCCACAGACCAAAATGATTATATTGACCTAGTTAGGGATTATTTGAAGATTGTGGTACACATTTTTCAGTGTGTAAAGCCAGTTTATAACTCTTAAAACTATAGCATAATTTAAACTTTAAAATCACTGCTTTGTTTATGATATTTACAGATAAAATTAGGTAGCATATATTTATAAACTCAAGGGCTTTCACATTACAGGATATATTTTCCGTTGAAACTGCTGCTTCTTATTATGATTTGTCAAATTTTATAACTACTAGTAGGCAATTATTATTAAGTAACAATACAATAATTGAACCAAACACATTAGATTGTATGTTGTAAAGTATTAGCCTAGTTCTATGCAAGATAGAACAAAATGTAATTTTACAATGTGAAATGGAAAAAGTTGACATGAGGCTAACAAATACTTTTTGAGTTATTATAAAATACATATTACTAACTAGTGATACCTCTTTCTGTGTCTTACCTTTGTATCCACCATACCTTAATTTTTTTTCTAGATAATTTACTTTGAACATGAAAATTGATGAATAAATTTGTTAGGGAGTTATAAATATTTTTAGATTTCTTTTGGGACTTCTAAAGATTTAGCAGCAAGCAGTCAAACATCCGGGCAAATGGTACTGTAGCATATAACTTTATACCTGGAATATCCGGCCAAAGATAGCCGCTGCCATGTAGAATATCTTGATTATGATTATTATCCCTAGTTTGGAATCTAGGCTAAAGGTAGGTTATATTTACAATAGACATGTCTGGAATAACTGCTTCCTGTGTATTTGTCATTATCTGGACTTTAAAATTGAAGATGATCTCCTGTAGTTAGATTTCTGGATCATGTAGGAAAATGGGAAGTATATATATATCATTGTCTCAGAGATTCAAATTGCCTAGGTTTGTCTATAAGGCCAATTTAGTGGGTTAAAGGATTATAATCTCGGTATAATTTTTCTTGCTATTAGATATGCTTTAGATTGCTAACTGTCTTATGATTCTGAAATGTGATAATGTCCAAGCAGAAATGCAGTAAACTGTAAAGAGTTCCTTTATATCATACTGTATACATATATTTATATATACAGATATTAAATCATAATTTCATTACACATTGAGAAGTACAGGTAGAAAGCCAGCAGGGTCCCAAGTGTAGTGGAATACTTAAGGTTTGAGGTTTAAAACATATTTTGTTATATAGTTTTCTGATAATGAATTGAAGAAGTAGGTCATGGTTTTTTATGAGCAAAAATTTAATTTGACAATTTTTATGTTTCCACAACTTTTGTTACAGACTTCTTTTCAATAAGAACTGTTTGTTGAGACCTGAGTCTGTTGCAAACATGAGCTTTATGTTGTTAATAGACTTACACTGTAAAATGTATCAGGTAAAGGAACCTTTTAAAGGTGAATGTTGTTTTCCAAATGCATATGTAAAGCACAGGTCAACTTGTATGTCCTAGTGATACTGTTTTTAATTTATAGTTTGCTAAAAGTATAAACGTAATCTTTTCTATCTTTACAGATAATTTATCTTAGTAGATATGTTTAATTTTATTTCCCAGATCTTGTAAATTTTGATGACATCGCTTCTTCAGAAAACTTACTACATCTTACTGCAAATAGACCAAAGATGCCTGGAAGAAGGTTGCCTGCCCGTTTCAATGGAGGACATTCTGTGAGTTAATACGTTGTAAAACACAGAGGAATCTGGGAATTGTGGTGTCTTTCTGAAGATAAGAATGAGAAAGGGGCTTATACTTCATCTCAGCTTTAAAATCAGGAAGATAACTGTTATATTCAAGTGGCAAATGGTTGTATTTAAGAGGATACAGGGAGTTCTGTTCATTGTAACATGACTTAGAATGGAAAGTTACAGAATCAGATGATAACTTGTCCTGAGGCTATAACTTTGAGTACATGACCAAAAGGCGACAGGGAACCTATGCAGTCTAGCTGTCTCACAACAGTAATTAGAATGGTGTGATATATATTCACTTTAGGAAAGAAAGAAAATTCCTCCCCCACCCTCCAATCTAGAGTGTTTTTTATAGTATTTACGTTAGTTATTTAAATATGTAACTTCTCTTTTTCTTTTTAAATTTTTTAAAGATTTATTTGTGCATACAGAACTGGGGTACAGGCCTAAGGGGCAGGGGCGGCGAGAACATTCACAGAGACAGAGCGGGGAGCAGAAGAGGCTCACTGAAAAAGTACACTGCTGAGGGGAGCAGCGAGGGGGTCAGGAGAAGTCTGCCACACCTTGTGATCACCTCCTGGGCAGGCAGGGATAGAACTGATGAGGAACTGGCTTTAGTTTCTTAGTGCTTTGCTTTAACCCACTGCACCACCAGGGAGGGCCCAAAATATGCAACTTCTTTTTATGCTTTCTGTACATTGATCCAGATCCTAGCAGTACATCAGTGTAAGTAAGTAAGTAACTTGTTTAAACACTGTGGTGCTTTTAAATTACATAAGTAGATAAAATTTTTGTTGTTTAGAGACAAATAGCTATTTTTTCCCCGCAAGATACGCAGTGTATTATTCATTTTGAAATTATGTAATATCCTATTAGTAATGGAATGTCTGGAACAGTAGCTACTAAAAACAGTGATAAAAGTTATTTACTTTATTCAAACGCCTATTTCTTTTCCTTTCTTGATCTTTTTCTTTTGCTTGATTTTTAAAAAATTATTCAGCCAACTCAAAGCCCAGAAAAAATCTTAAAGTTACCAAAAGAAGAAGATAGTGCCAATCTAAAGCCATCTGAATTTAAAAAGGATCCGTGCTATTCTCCAAAGGTGAGGTGCATTGTGGTCTCCAGTTAATAAAATTTGTATTATTCTTTGTAAATATCAAAATTGTGGGATTTAAAGTATCCCTTGTGAAGGAAGAATTATTTTTTTCCAAGATATTAAAAAAATTAGTTGTAAAAGTTAAGTCATGGTGTTCTCTTCTAGACCTTCTTTTAAAAATAGCTTATGTTATTTATCTTAAATGAGTAATACAAATGTTACATGTTTCATATTTTTTAAAACATTGATCTATACATATCTTTTTCATTTTCCCACTAAACATGTCCTCTTTAAGGTAAAAACCTATCACTTGTTTAATTCTAACCTAAGTTGGTGTTTTGTAGTGTAATTGAACTTATACTTTAATGAATGACATACATACATATTCTTCCATATATGCTGTTAATCAGACTTTTCTAAACTCTCAACATTTTCATTACAGCTGATAAATGTTTTTTAGGAGATGCTGTTTCCTCTTCAATTTTGTTTTAGGGCATTTTCCTCTTCAATTTTTACTTTAGGTCATTTAGCTGCCATTTCAGTTTATAATATACATTTAATCTGATTCTCTCAACTGTCAGTAGTCTAATGAAATTTTACTTGCTGCTGTTTTGTGAAATAATACCATATGAAACCATGGGTTAATTTTAGTAGCTCTTACATAGATCTACTAAATTCTTCTGAATTATTTTCCAGTGAGCCTTTTTGGATAGTCTAAATAATAATTCACTAATATGAATGCACAAAAAACAGTTTTTTTTTTTTTTTAAAGATTTATTTATTTGTACATACAGAACTGAGGTACATGCCAGAGGCTCAGGGGCAGTGAGAG